ACTTATCTGCTCTCTCTCTCTCTCTCTCTCAGAGAGAAGGTACTTCCATCGATCGAATGAGCAAAATCGAACGATTTTTATTTTTTATTTTTTTTTGTGTGTGTGTGTGTGAGAGAGAGAGAGAGCATCCTCACGCTACTTCCATCGACGGGATGAGCAAAATCGAATGAATCTTCCGCTAGAACATCGAAATATACACTACTACACGCGCACGTGTGTGTGTGTGAGAGAGAGAGAGAGAGTCACAGTGTCAAAACTTCATACATTTCTGTGTTCATTCTCATTTGTGATGGAAAACTCACTTCTTCAATCACGTACGTTCCCCCTGCCGCGGCGCGTTTACTTGTTTTTTTAAAGGAACTTCTCCATTTCATCGGGCCGAGTGCCCAAGGCAGTAGTACATTTATCACAGCAGGACGGGTAAGCCTTGGCACTCAATCTCAGGCTGAGCCTCCCCTCTGTCAAAGGTCATGGAGCCAAACAATTTTCATTTGACTTTACTAAGCTGTATTCTTCTCTCAAATTCACCATTACTACCTACCTACCACTACTCCTATGTCTACACAGCGGACCCCTGCAAACGTAGCTACCCCTCACAATCAAGCGGATGCATGTTGGCCTCGGCCCTAATCGGTGGTGGTCAGGGAGTAGGGTGGGGCAGCCAGCGGCAAAATGTTTGGTCTTTTGTTTTCCTTTTCTTTTCCCCCCAAACATCAGTGGTGGCTTCTTGCCTCCGCAGACTGGGATAAGAGCCCGTGTGTCCGGTGTAAGAGCCTGAGGGTTGATGGCTCCAGTCTTATTCATGGAGAGCAGCACGTCACGTGCTGAGAACCGGGCCTAGCGTCCCATACATGGTACACTGTCACTATTTACATTTGGCAGCATTCCGGGTCCTTGTATGAGCTAGTGATTCCCGGCTTATATTTAACACCCTCCCTCAGCTCCGTGTCCCAAGGGGGGAACACAATGCTCTGGAGCCCCCCATTGCTAACCGGCCGTCAGCCACAGAAAACCTTTGAAAAAAGAAAAAAATGTTTCTTAAACTTTCTTTTTCTTTGTTTGTTTTGCTGATCACATCAGATACTACACTTGATCTTAGGCCTGGAGCCCACAGGAATGCGGAAAGGAAAAACTTTGCGTCGCAGAACTGTTTCCGGGACCCCACCACCCGCGGAAGAGGTCTTGGAAAGTTGCGATTTATTCCATGGAACTGTTTCCCAGGACCCCACAGCCCCCCTTTTTTGGTCTGGAAGAGGCCAGGAATCCGTTTTCACTTTGTTCGCGGCCTGGAAAAGTCCCACGGGAGGGAAAATTGTTGCGATTTTGTGCCGAGTGGAGAGTCTCAGGGGGGGGGCGACATCTCAAAAGTTTCTGAGGTCTCCTCCCCTGGTCGGACGAGAAGGTGTCCGCCCACGGGTCGTGTTCCGCAAGGGCCGCCCCAACGTCACCCGCTCAAGGCCCTCACGGGTTCCTATGCTCCCCTGCTGACCACCAGGACAAAACCATCACTTTCCTTTTTGGGATGGTGGGCAGGGGAGTTTCCCGTTAGGGAAAATTTTGACGTCATTTTGCCGCAAAACTCACTCCGCGGTGGGGTCCCCGCGGAACTCTTTCCAGAGTTTCCAAAATTCTTCCACCATGTTTTTGGGGCAGACGTCTTTTCCAACGGAATTCCTGTGGGGTCCAGGCCTTACCCAAAAGGCAGAGAAACGTATGGGCCCATGGGGTTCTCCGCACAAATGCAAATGATCCAATGGGGACCAACAATAATAGTGGGGTTTTCTTCTTCTTTTTTTTTGTAACTATGCTATATTCTTCTCTCAAATTCTTTAATCTTTCACTTCCTACGTGCCACTACTCCTAAGGCTATACAGGGGACCCCTGCAAGCATAGCTATCTACCTCTCTTGGCCACGGTGAAGGGAGGTTACCTCTCGCAGTGGAAGAAGGTAATTGCATGTTTGCCCCTTGCCCTAATGGTTTAGAGTGCAGGGTTGGGGCCGTCGGTGGGGCCCCGGCTAACACAAGGACTGAGCATTTGCCAGTGGCTGCACCTCCCTTTTCATCTTCCCCCATCCCCATCGAGTAAACGCAGTGTCTAAGTCCAAACCTCTCCCACACATGACACACAACACACTCGCACTCACACCCGTGTTGGCTGTAGACCCTACTAATACCGACTGGGAGGATCCAGCTGCCTATCTCATTGGTTGGCACCAAGCATACCGCCGGCTGCGATGGGGTTTGAACCCATGACCTCCTGAATGCCACTTGCGTGCCTAATCAATTGAGCTTCAATCATCTCCTCACTACCATCTTCACTCGAATAGAACGCCCCGTCATTATCGCTGCATCTGGACTGAATGTTGGCCCAAATGCAGCTATAATGACCGGGTGTTCTATTAGGGTGAAGACAGTACTTACAATGGATTCTGAAAAACGTGCTCTTCCCCACTCCCCCTCTCTACAAGGAGCCATTGCTAGATGTAAGAGGCTACTGAATCCTGTCCATATGTTTTTCTGTAATGCATATCTTTTACTTTTTTTTCCCCGTACAATGCAAATGCAAATCAATTTTAAACAATTTTATGAACAATTTTAAACAATTTAAAACGATTTTAAACAATTTTAAACAAATGCCTTTTTGAACTCACAAAAATTGTCGAAATGATATTGTTATGTCCCAGGCTAGCAAGCTTAGACGAGGATAACAAACGCATGCTTAACCTGCTGTCTAAGGTTAGTGGAGCTATAACCAGATGCCCAGAGATCCATCCTCCAAAGTCTTCCTCTCCTTTTTTTTTTTCTTTTTTCTTTTTTTCTCAAAACAAGATGTCCCTTCTATTCTGGGGGGCTCAGTCTGGCTGCTCGTCACCGGCAAGCATGTTTTTACATCTGAAAAGAGGAGCGGGGGAGATCAAGACAGAGGACCAGCCCGTCCCTTGTGGCTCTAGACGCCTGGCAAGGCAGGGACTGTTTTGGGGCAACCCTCCCCCCCTATCCTTAGGCTTTCGGGGGGGTGCCCGACTAGCCGGGAGGCTTACTGACAGCACCCGGTCAAACAGTAGGGCAGCCCTCGGATAGGCAGGGTGCATCCTTTATCTTTTTCACAAAGAAACAGGAATAAGAAGGAGAAGAACAAGAATGAAGAAGAAAAAGAGGAAACTCAGGAAAGCCCTACTGGCCCACAGAAAAAAAGGGGAAAGAAAAAGCAGATGCTGAGATGGGACAATTCTTTTTTTTTTGGGGGGGGAAGTATGTTTATGTCACATGGGAGTTTGTAATGGGCACAAAAAACAGCCTTCGGCGTCTGTGTCAGGGCCTGAGTTCGAAAAGGCGTTTGTAGCTCAAGGCCGGCAGTGGTGTCAGGGCGGAGTTCGAAAAGGCCACACCTGGTGCAACCAGCCCAGCCACCACTGGCCCCCCMCCCCCCCGCTGCCCTGCCGCCACTGCCACCTCCACTCATCCATGCTCCCCCCCCTCCTGCTGCTCCGCCACCACCGCCCCCCGTTCATTTCCTCCCGACTGCTCAACTGGCTGCCAACAACACGAGGGACAACTGAAGGTTTGGACTGACAGACAACAACAACAACAACGGTAATGGTACCAATGACTGGGGCAGCAGCCGTCTTCTCACTACAGAATGCTCTGCAGCTGGAAACCTGCAACGATGAAGACCGACGCATCTAAGGGAGCAGGGCCTCAGACCATGAATGCAGGCCATGGAAGGGATACTGCTGATCCTCAGGCTTCAAGGTTCACGAATGTGTTTTGCATGGGTTTTGATAGGGGAAAAGGGTTTTAAGGGCTTCAAGGGCTTAAAGGGTTTAAAGGAACAGGCATAGCAATAACAAATAGGGGGGCTGCTGAGTAGGGCTGGGTCATAGAAAAGGGGTGCTCCAAGAAGGGATGGGTGATACTGGCAGCTCCATGGGACAACGGAGCCCCAGGTTGCAACAGAAATGGCCATAGTCCTAGGAAACAACAATTAACACTCTCTGTGCTATAAGATGTATCAGTGGGACCCTGGACCCGGTTTCCAGCAGGTGCCGCTCCCCACCAATAGATGGAGCAGCCCGACAGATAAGCCCTCAATTCAGACGGTTCTCTTACCACCGCCGGAATCGAGGGCTTACGCAAGGGCTATTTTTTCAAAAAAAAAAAGGAAAAAAAAAAGAGATGGGACAATTCTCACTCATCTGGAGGTGTAGTGAAAGTTAGTAGACCAACATGCTATATTATCCCTGTACGGTTTGGTGACAATTGTCACTCACCATACAATGGCATAGATCCAAAATTGCATTTTTTTTATTTTTTATTTTTAATTTTTGACCATTTCCTGATTTATGTGCATCATGATGTCATCCTTGCGCAGGGTCCATGCTAATCTTCTCTGTATCGTTCCAATTTTAAACCACCAGTACTTGGCATAGCTATCGCCCGCGGCGCTTCCCCGTTAACGCGCCGCGTCTGCAGGGCTTCGGGGTACCGGACCACAATGGCTGGAAGCGCCAGCCAAAAGAAATTTGAAACGACGCCCTGCCGGTTCGGCAAAACTTGGCGCGCAGGGGGTCGGCCTAGCTGGGCCAAGCACTGGTGGTTTAACAGATGTCTCGAAGAACCAAAAAAAATCCTTTTCCACCCGGATCCAATAATCTAAATTGAAACACCCTTACCTTATAATCATGGTTACCAACCCGGACCCAGACCCGGACCCGGACCCGGACCCGGACAGAGCATGAGGTCCGGCCGGACTGACGTTCGGTAAAATCCGGACCAAAGAAGAAGAAGAAGAAGAAGAAGAAGAAGAAGAAGAAGAAGAAGAAAGAGAAGAAAAGAAATGAAAAGGTTACAGATTCATACAGAAGGTTTACAGACAGGGAGTGAATTGGGCCCCACCTACCTCAAGGCAGTATCCAGGCTGGGCACCTCTCTCTCTCTCTCTCTCTCTCTCTCTCTCTCTCTCTCTCTCTCTCTCTCTCTCTCTCTATATATATATATATATATATATATATATATAT